GGTAGGCCCAACTATCCAAGATGAGTTATACTCCACACTGCTCCGCTTCCGGCTGCACAGGTTTGCTCTGACAGCCGATGTTAAAAAAATGTATCGTCAAGTAATGGTAAATGAAGCGGATAGGCCATTTCAACTCATAGTGTGGAGAAGAGACCCCTCAGAATCCTTGAGATTATACCAGCTCAACACCGTAACATATGGAACTGGTCCAGCTCCATATCTAGCGATTCGGTGTTTAAAAAGGTTGAGTGAATCTGCCAAACTTTCATTCCCTAGAGCTGCTGAAGTGATTGGATCCGACTTTTACGTCGATGATATGCTAACTGGTGCTGCATGCGTCGAGGAGCTCAGATCTATTAGGTCTGAAGTGTCTCAGGTTCTTCAAACCGCCGGGTTTGAATTGACAAAGTGGTTTTCGAACTCACCTGAGGTCACCGCATCTGAGAGCACAGTTAAATCCATACCGATCTCGGATTCAGAGTCGACGAAGGCGTTAGGCATATCGTGGTTGCCTAACGAAGATTCTTTCAAGTTTGAAATTGACAATTCCGTCATGGGTCTCAGAGCGACAAAGCGGAACATACTATCGGTGACATCGAAGCTGTTCGACCCCCTCGGCTTGCTTAGTCCTATCGTAATCAGAGGAAAAATCCTATTGCAGGAACTCTGGCTGAACAAGTTGGATTGGGATGAGTCGATTCCTGTGCATTTGGAAACTGCGTGGAATAAGTTGAAAAATACATTGTCTCGTTTGGAAGAGATAACAATTCCGCGGTATGTGCACACCGATCCGATGTCACCGGTTCAATTGCATGCCTTTGCCGACGCATCCATGAGAGCTTATGGAGCTTGCGTCTATATTCGTAGCAAAACTGCAGAAGGTATTAAACTGTCATTACTGACGTCAAAATCTAAAGTAGCGCCGCTCAAGACTAAAACGCTCCCAAGGCTTGAGTTATGTGCCGCTCACCTTCTCGCAGATCTCTGTCAAAGAATCAAACCCCTATTAAAGGTCCCTATCGAACGGATAGTATATTGGTCAGACTCGGAAGTTACGTTGCATTGGATTCGATCCCATCCGTCTTCTTTGTCGATATTCGTCTCGAATAGGGTAGCGGAGATTCAGGAGTGGTCAGGAGAAGCTACGTGGCGGCATGTCCCAACTAACCAGAACCCAGCAGATATTGTATCAAGAGGTTGTGACATAGAGGAAATTAGCGATTCAATCTGGTTTACTGGACCATCCTTTTTGAAGAATGGAGAAGAGACCTGGCCCAAAAATTCACATTTCGTTCTTGATGAAAGGGTCCTAATTGAAGAATCAAGGAAGACTGTGGTAACGATGGCCGCCACGGTACGGAAGTCGGAACTGGTGGATGTCATCGAGGGATTTTCGTCACACCTCAAGCTGCTTAGAGTGTTCGGTTACATGTTCCGCTTTATAAGGAAATGCAGAGACAAGAGTATAGTTTTTGAAAAAACTCTGTCTCCGAATGAGTACAACGAAGCCTTCTTAAAAATTGTCGAGACCATCCAGAAACACGAGTATCACGAAGTTCTTGAAAAAGTTCGGAAGAACTCCAGAGTTGGCCCAAGTCTTCAACGATTGAACCCATTCATTCATGAAGACTCAGGCACTTGGTGTAATTTTTCGTTGTTGCGAGTTGGGGGGCGATTAGCAAATGCTCCTATAACGTACGATGCCAAGTTTCCCCTGCTGTTGACAAAATGCTCCCAATTTGTGCAGAGCTATGTCCGGCATTTGCATCTAACCAATTTTCATGTCGGGCCACGAGCACTTGTGAGTCTCCTTCGACAGCGTATTTGGATCGTAAACGCTCAGGAGGTCTGCAGTCAAATAGTTCGATCCTGTATTCGCTGCTTTAAATGCAAGCCTCGACTAATGACGCAAATTATGGGAAATTTACCCGCAGATCGTCTCCGTGCTCTCCGCCCATTTAGTATCTGTGGCGTTGATTTTTGTGGCCCCGTCTATACGACATTGAAAATTCGTGGAAGGCCTCCTTATAAGTCCTACATAGCGCTTTTTGTTTGTTTTGCGTCCAAAGCGGTTCATCTAGAAATTGTTTCAGATTTAACCACTAACTCCTTTTTATTGGCTTTCCAAAGGTTCGTTGGGCGCCGAGGATGCCCTCGCACAGTCCACTGCGACAACGCGACGAACTTCGTCGGAGCCAGTCGCCACTTCCAGGGCCTTCGGAAGCGCATCGAGGAGGAAGCAGACGCCATACGCGAATTCGCGTCAAGAAGCGGATGCGAGTTTGCATTCACACCGCCTCGGGCTCCGCACATGGGCGGGCTTTGGGAGGCAGGTGTGAAAACTGCAAAGCACCTACTCCTACGAGCGGTGGGCAGCGCGCTCCTAACCGCAGAAGAGCTGGAGACGGTGCTCGTCGGGATCGAGGCGGCGATGAACTCCCGGCCGCTAGGCGCGTTAAGCAACGACCCCAGCGACGGAGAAGCTTTAACGCCCGGGCACCTGCTGACAGGCGGGCCACTATTCCCCATCCCAGCACTCCGGACCCCGGACCAGGCGGGTCTCAGTTGCTTGCGGCGATGGCAACTTGCCTCGTCAGCCAGGCGAATGTTTTGGCGGCGATGGTCCCTGGAGTATGTGCTGGGCCTTCAAGTTCGGGGCAAATGGCACCAGGAGCAGCCCAACATCCAGGAAGGACAGCTGGTCGTCGTCGCCGAGGACAACCTGCCGCCTCAACAGTGGTTGATTGGGAGGATCGTCGCCACGCACGCAGGAGAGGACGGCATGGTCAGGGTCGTCGATGTGAGGACCAGCGGAGGAGGAATGTTTAGGCGGGCCATCCACAAATTAGCGCCGCTTCCAGTTTGTTGAAGCCGGATGGGCCTTCAACGGGGCCGGTGTTGGCTGAAGCCAGTTTTATTTGTTTATTTGAATTGTTAAAATAAGTCTGATTGAATTGAATTTGAAGTTTACTGTAAGTTAGTTTAGGGCGAAGGCGGGAGCGCAATAAAGCTTTCGTTCGCTCTCTGCGAGTTCGCTCCGTCTTCGCCAACCTTCGGTAAGCTAGGCTTAAGAATAATGTGGAGAATAGATCATTGGTTGAAATTGAGTCTGATCGAGCGCACGCACTTCTTTTTCGTTTTCGTCGTTTTGCCAAAATAAATTTATTAATTAGCCACCCAACGTTTTCGGGATTAAATATTTAGAAAAACTATTCTAAATTTTCAATAATGTTTAACGGAAAATACTTCATGGAGTACACACCATTTATTTGTTTAATTTTGTGGAAATTTTATTGCGATGACAACATATTAAATTATTATCTTAAATTTATTGGATTGTCTGTAAAAAAGCGATCAACAGAGCATCCAACTATTGGTTAGCCACCTAATATTTATTAGCTAATATTTAAAAACAAGAAGAATATATTCCAAGCTCTGGACATTTTCTTCCTGTGTAAAGGAAGGACCAGGATAACTGGCCGCAGGAGCTGGCCGGCGGAGTAATGAACTGCCGGAGGACCAGACAGGCGACGGGCCTTGTTTGTCCCGCCGATCGATGCAGCTGGAGTCGATGCGAGTCGAGTCGAGTCGAGTCGAGTGTATTAAAAACAAAGTCACACTGTGTGTCCTGCATCCTTGTACGCTGCCAAAGTCAATGAACAGCGACGTGCGACATGGACCGGCTGGCAGGATGCGAAGCGTGTGCGAAAGTTTTCCACAATTAGGATGCCACAGCGCGCCGCTCCGTCGTCCCCTTTGCAATAAAAAAGTTTAAAGTTGCGTTTAAATATGCATTTCATAATTCATGGACGGCAGCAAGGGGAGCTTTGATTTTCCAGTCAACGCCGACAGCAACACGTTTCCGCCATTTTGTTGGCTGGCTGGCAACTTGTTGCGTTTTCTGCATTTTAATGGTGAGGAAAGTTGTGGAAAGGGGAGGGGAAGGGGGAGGGGAAAAGGGAAATGATGACATCCCGAACACGTTGAAATTTCCGCCAGACAACGAACGACGCCAGAAGCTGAAAACTTGCCAGTCTGACATTCAAACATTCAATCGCCCAACTGTGTGTGTCAGATTGCAGGTGTGCCTTCTGCAATCGAGTGCGATTCTATACGAGGCTTTTCATATTCATTTAAATGCGATTACATGTTCGGCTGACAGTTTTCAGTTAATAATGAACAACAAAAACATAGGCCAAAATCCCGCAACGGGTGCCACTTAGACGCGCCACAGGTAGCACTAGAATCTTTCGCTATTTTCTTGCGTCTTCACTCTATTTTTGAGCACCTTCCTCGGTAACACAGTTCAAAGATTTTACTCGTTCCCTATTTATGTTTAGCTTTTCAAAAATATATAAACAAGACACACACCGTCATAGTTTGCCTTGTATTTACATTCTCATAAAATAAATGTTGGGTAAATAGAAATTATTCTCGAGGCGATCGAATCAAATGAACTTACTTTTTAATATAATTTTCTCACTATAATTGCATCTAGAGCAGACAAAAATTATTTGCCATCGGCGAAGATTGACATTAATTGTTTAAATTAAAGCGGATACGTCTGGCTGGCCAATAGAATACTTTTAAATTGGATACCGACATGGGTGAATTCCATTGAAGAATTTACGCATCCCTTCTCTGGGATTGAAAATTGGGGTTTGATTAGTATAAAAATTGGAAAATTAACTTGAAGGGTTTAAATAATGACAGGAACTTGAATAATTTATTGGAGAGGAAATAGGCACCTGACGCATTGCACGATTTAGTAACTTAATTATAAACATTGTAAAAAAACAACGTAGACTTAGGCGGAAAATAAGATAAAGGACTGAGTAGTTTATAGTTGAATTTTCGAAATCTTGTTAACTGGAAAATTGTAAGCAAGCTCTTCAAATTGCTAAGTTCAATTAAATTCTTTTTGTTTTCCATTCTTGTTTTGAATAAACAAATTTTAAAATATTAATTGAGCACACGTGCAGTTTATTATTATTTATTCTAAATATTAGTACACTTAGACACATTTTAAATAGCAACAAAACATCCACCCACTCATATATTTGTCACCCTCCTTCAGCTAAGTGTTTAAATTATTCAAAAATTTTTCGCCCCCGAAAAGCTTTGACGTAAATTTGGGGTTTCCCCCGCTCTTTCCCGTAACTGATGTCTCCAAGGACACTTTATCATGACTCGCGAGGCTCAAGCAATTGTTGCAAATGGAGCTCAGCGGCTAAGTGGTTTTATTTTAAATCTTTCACGTTCAGGACAGAGTCACAAAAAAAATTGAAGCGTGAAAATCTGCAGCCTTATGACAACAAGTTGCTTTCAAAAACTCAACAGTCGCGACAAGTTGTAAGCGGAATAATTTGGTTTTTCTGTTTTTCAGCTTTCAGCTTTACTTCTTCTCTTTTTCTTCTGTAGCTCAATTGTTTGGTAAATGTCAGTCTTCATTTGTCAGCTACATCCCAAGTTGGCTTAAGTGGCTTCGTTTTCGGGCGGAGGATACAGATATAGCGGATATAAAGCGATGTGCATCTTGAGTATTGTTTTGACTAAGCTTTAAAGGTTCTCCTCCATTTAAAATTACAATTGAAATTGAAAGACTTCCAGCGAAACACTCAAAGTCGATTACTCTTGGGCGCAGCTAATACGAATCCAATAAATATTTAGTAAGGCTTTTCAAGGACTAATTCTGATTAATTTATCAATCGATTTGACGACGAGCCTTGACACGAAACGTCGGGATTTATGGCCCAACATTACGAGCTGCCTTGCTAATTATTTCGCTGTGTTTCGCCTTGGCTTTCACCCACTCGACAACTCCCTGTCCCTTTGTTTCTTGGCAGTGACTCAAACTGGAATCAATAAAATCCCGTGGCATGAACCCAAACACGTAAACCCCAAAAACAAAAGCCTGCAAATGTGCATGGCATCGGCAAAAAGGCCAGAACAACAAAAGCCAAAAGCGAATGAAAGTGAATTTCACGCCATTGGCTAAAATGATTTTCCGGCAGGAAGGCATCAATCAGATCGGAAAATACTTCGTTCTGCTCACTTATTTATGCGTCCCTGGCGTATGCGTAATATTTCAGCGGTTTATTACAGGCTCGCTGAACTTGCAGAGCTGTATAGTTTGTTTCTCTGAGCCCTTTCAATATGAATATTTAAGTGGTTAAACTTATTGAATACATTACAATTTTATCAGATATATTTATAGTTGTTTGCAATAGTTTAATAGCTAAACTTCAAACACGTTCAATTAAAGTTGCTTTTTACATCCAATTTAAGTAAAATGTCAATCGGAAAGCATTAAAGTAATTTAAAACAAATTTTAAATAAGGTAAATTTTTTTTCCCCCCCTTCTCGTTTTAGATAAATAAACGCAGACATCTGTCCCACAAAGAAATGCTAATCAAGTGGGAAGCCGCAGCAGTGAAATTATCGACCGATTTCGGATTTTCTCGTTTCGATGTTCGGTGTTTGGTGTTCGGTGTTCGTGCTCCCTAAGCTCTAATTGAACTCTTTTGCTCTGAGCCCGCTTCCTCGTTGCCGTCAAATGGAGCATGTAAATGCAACTGACTGCATCCACCACCCCCTGCAACCCACTCCACTCGAATCGCCGCCCAGGCAGGCGACCTTGTGATTAAGTGGGAGGGGGCCATCCTGTTTAACTCAAACCGCAATGGGCCATTTGCTGTTACATTAACCCACTATGCACAGCTCATAAATTAGAAGGCATCTCAACACCTGCGAATTGCAGTTGCAGTTGCAGATGCACCAACGCCTTCGGGCAGCTGGCTTTAATATGCTCGGAATTTACCCCGACCCCCCCATAAACACTGATTCCCAATTTGACTGCAGAAAGCGTTAAATAGTTTTGTGGTTTTTGGCTGTTTAGATGAAAAGTTAATACGACTGCGGCCTTTGATGCGTCAGCTGCCCGAAATTCGCAGGTGACCTCTACACTGTAAACTAAGCATAGATTCTATAGTTTATATTCCAGTTTGTATTACTGTTTCAATAAAAAGAATTCCAATTTTGTTGCGTAATTTTATCCCTGAAGACCGAAAATATATATTTACCTGGGAAAACTATTATATAAATATCAGTACTTTAAATATTTACATGCAGTTTTTGTGTACAAGTTCCGAGAACCATGACGCAGTTTGGAAAACTTCAACCTAGGTGACGACGACGAAGTTGTTGAAATTTTTATATTATTATCACAATTCTGGCGGGGCAAGGTCGATGAAATCCAACCTAAGTAAAACTACTCGCATAAATTAGACGCACAAAAATAAACACGATCGAGATGAATAAGTTTCTTGGAGCTATGCACATGTGACTTGTTAGGCAATCGAAAGTTTGAGCAATTAAAATGCTATAAAGTTTTTCACACGCCAATCGCCGGAACATAAACTAAGCGCATACTCGAAAGATTATCCATGGAAGCTATAAACTTGAAGCCTGCAGATCACCAAGGACAATCCCCCATTACTTGTTATATTATATATATGGAAATGCCATAAAACCATTGCCTACTGTGAGGCGTTCAATGGGTGGTAATTCGATTTTAATAAATTGAACAGCAGCAGGCGGTATTTTATGGACAGAGGAGGAAGGACACCATGGGAACCCCCATATCATGAAACTATTCAACGCGGCACGGCAATAACCGAAAATCTAATAGCAATAAATGTGTGGATTTCTAGCCAAAATCGGGCCGTAAAAACTTCCGCCCCGTCCAAAAAATTTACCACCGTGTGTTTAACAACATGTTAACATGTTGACTATTGCAATGAGCTTTTCGTATGCGGGCGTGCCCGTAAATCAGGCAAACGACTGTGAGCCGCAAGCCAAACATTAACCCCGGAAAAGCCCCAAACCATTTCCCGCAGGAATGGGCCCTTTTGCGGTTTGTCGGCCCATAATATGATTTAACTTGCGGTTAAATTCACGTTTGCATTTGGTTTGATTACCGAAACTGATTTTTGGTTTAGTTTGTGCCTTTTTCTGGATGAGGTTTATTGCAGAAGGCTCTTGTTTATGTATATTATTATAAATATCTATTAATACCAGATATTTAAAATAATATGCTGCAGAATAAATTTTAAAATATAAAATAATTCTTCCACAATTTATTTATTATATTAGTTAGGCATTCGGTTCAAAGTTGGAATATTTTTAAAGACCTAACAAATACATTGTTCTCAGCACAAACCTATTCCATCCTCTATTTTTTTCCTACTCAGCTCATTTATCTCTCCACTCGGCCAGTCTGTCTAGTTATTATGCTGTTATTTATACTTCAGCGCGAAATTCTCGGTGCCCCCGAATGTTGCACAATTTTCGTTTCTTTTTGTTTGCTTTTTTGTCATCAAACATGTTGCGTGTCTTGCCGCCGTGTGCAATTTAAGCGATGACTGGGGCCAAGGGGGTGCAGAAATTTGGGGAGGGCTGAAAACTTTTGCCACGTAAATGATTTGTTTTGTCAATTATTTTGTTAGCCAACATGCAACAACGGCAAGTCCCAGCTGATAACATCAAAACAAAGGATCGCCCCCAAGGAATAACTTTTCGTTCGGCGATTTAATTGAGAGGCGTGGCCGAACAAATTGCATCAAGATAAACAAACAAATCCGAAAGCGGATGGAAACGGAGAGGAAATGGAGTTGACGAGCCCCAGATTGAATGTCTGATATAGTCGGATTTTTCAGAGATTTTATTAAGTACCGGGGATCGCTTCGGTTCGGCTGAGATTGTCTGCGGCATCTGTTTAAACGAGTGAGTCCACTTGCATAAATATTTATCGCACTCGCAGCCAGCTGATTATTTATCGTCTGACGCAAGATTAAAAAATAATGAAACACATGTGCACTCGACTCCCTCGATTTTCAAATTAAAATTAATGCACATTTGCTATTCGAGCGGCTAAAAAAATAATAGGAAAACAGAGTTTTATGGGCGGAGAAACAGAAAAATCCGTAGCTGAACAGGCAATTGAGTGATGGATGGATTGGCAATGGCCCCACTACCATTCAGCATTTTCTTCTTCTGTTTTTTTTTTTTTTTTTGTTTTTTGTTGGTTGGTTTTGCTGTGCCATGTCTTAATTAACATGCGCGACATTCTGTTATTTTTTGTGACATATTTTTAGGGTCTGACGTTAGAGTACTAGATATTCGGGGAAATTACCTTGGAGCAGCTGGAATTCAAGCACTGAAAAACTCACACTCACTATGGCACTAATAATCTATTTCTTTTGTTTAATTCATTATCTAATGATGCGCCTGGCCAGAGAAAGAAATTTCCCAATTCATCGCACTAAATTTGTGGCACTAATTGCACTTAGCCGCAATCGCGATAACTCAAAATAACACACGCGGCACTCGAGATTCCAAATATTCAGAAGCAAGTATTCAAAAACACACAGAGAGATCTCTCGAATTTCTTTATTTGTTTTTCTTTACGGACTGAAGACCGTTTTCTGACCGTTTCAGCGTGCGGGCCGTTGCCAACTGAATCGGTGGATGGGAATCGGGAAATAAAGCCAGTCCCGAATCGCATTCGAAGGCTCGTGTATCTTTCGTATTTTCCGCTCGTTTTAACTCGGCTATCTGATATCGCTTCGTGTGGAAAAGCCGGCAAAACAAAATGTAAATAACAATGGGGTGGGGGTTCGATGAGAGGAGGGGTGCGAGGTTGGGAAACCGGCTTTTGGTCTCAGTGTTGAGCTTTGCAGATTTTACGCCTTACGACCAAACGTCAGACGAGTGGAAACCCCTCGTCCCCACCCAGAAAACACCACCCACCAGCCCCACCCCTCTATTTGCTTTGCGGCTTTTCGGGGTTGTTAGAGAGTGTGTGTCTGCGTGTGCGAGCGTTTGTTTGTCGATACTTCGGCTTGGCCTGCAATTGGCGGGAAAATTTGTGGATGCCATTCGCAGTGAGCCTTTGAAAATAACATTAACTTTGGGAATTCAAAAAACCTTTTTGTGATAAAGCTAAAAAATTAAACAACCAATCAATTATAACAAAATCCAAAACAATTGTTTTGTGACGACTCACAATAAATTACAATTTCATTTGGACATTACATTATTGAGTACTTTCAAAAATATTGAGTCTTTTTGAAGCTTATAATATTTTTTTCCTTTTTAGTTAAAATGTATAAATTAACCTTTACTTACCTAATTAGAAATTTTATAATAAGAAATACGTGAAAAAACATCTTATGCAGACATACTATAAATCACCAAATTGTAATCCATTTTTAACCATCGTTAAAGGTTTTAAAATATTAAAATCTAAATTTTAAAAATCTTTTCTTGTTCAACTCACATTCCACCTTGTCAACATGTTGCATGCGCAATAAATGTTGCCAGCACACATCGCTCATGCGCCCTGTTGTCCCATTCGCCGAGTCGTTCGTTGTTTTTCTTTGCATCCCCTCTCCGCACCGCCCCCTCCTGCCAGCATAACCACCCCCCTCGACGCCCTTGGCCACCCAATTCGCAACACCATTGCCTATCCCAACCAACACGAGCGACCGCCTAACGCTGCCAAAGTGACAACCTTTCAGTTTTATCGCCTCTACATAGCGATGGTTCGTCTGTGTGTATGTGTGTGTGCCAATGTTTGCAAGAATGTGTGGGTGTGTGTGTATGTGTGTATAAATAATGTAACAGTAAATTAGCGTGTTTGACACACTGTGGGCGTGGCCAAACGGTGCGTGCGTTGAACAATCTCAATCAAGTTAATATTTGTAATTGCGGATAAGTAGAAGATGAAAGGAAACTCTGTTGACTTCATGGCCCAAAAGAAAACCACATTTTCCAATATAGATAACTTGTATAAATTAAAATTAAATTTTATTAAAAATTTCGATTTATTAAAGTTTATGTAAACAAAATCATAAGCATGAACTGCATTATTTAATTAATTTTTTACTATGCTCATTATATTATTTGGCACAACTCAACATCATAATAAATAGAAAGAAAATTTTCGTCTCATTAAATCATAAACCAAATTACGTGACTCAATTAAGAGTGATTATACGCCCATTCGTTTGATTGAATCAAATTATTTATGCATTTTTCTTCTGTTCATAGAATCGAGAGGAAATTATTTTTATATTTTCCTCCCAATTACAAGTTGCATCCACAATAAGCATCCGCTGCAGTATTGCACTCAAAATTCACTGACGTCTAAAGAAAACATTGGGAAATCCCAATATATTTTCACACAAAAAAAGCATGAACCATTTTAAGCGAATAATAAGTAAAACCATTATTTTTAAAAATTGTATATTTTTTAATTCCAATTTGAAGTGTTCTAGTTTTTGGAATACGAAAGTAAAAGGCTCTAAGTAAATAAACCGGCGGACAAAGCAAATCGTGCACTAAAACAATAATTAGAAGCCATGGAGGTGAGGATAAAAAGAGGAAAATACAAAACACATTTTCGGCTGCTTCTCCCCTTCAAATTATATCCATTTCGCAGAACATCGACATGGACCAAGACGTAAATAAGACCGCCTTCCTCTCATTGTTTTTTCATTTGGGAAATCTTGAGAGTCGCCAGCAGGCGCCACCAAAGGGCACTCGATGAGATGACGCGATCGCAGAAGAGTTCGCCTCATCTCCAACTGATCACAGACTTTTCGCACCTGTACAAATCAGTTGTGGTTGTTGCCTTTATTGTAGTGTCTGCTGGCCAAAACGTATTTTTGGTTCATTGCCAAACAAGCGAACAGCAAAAAAGCCAGTGGCTATGCCAAAATTTAATCAAACTGGCGCATTTCTAGTAGCTTCAAAATATATTTCTTTAAAAAATCAAAATATTTTTTAAGATTATAAAACTTTACATTTTTTATAAAAAGGGTTAACAAGATTTATAAAACGTTTTTATATTGGTTACTTCAATATTTGTGAGTAGATTTTATTTCTAATTAATTTTACCATAACATTTTTAAGGCGCACGTAGAGCAGTGTTTTTATGTCTTCATGTCTGAGAGCGAATAATTTTTATGCGTCTTCCAATGAATTTATTTAGTTGTCTCAACTTTATTTATTTTGTTGTTTAGTTTATGCTGGTCTCAATGTAGTTGTTGATTGTTGCTCTGGCACGCTGCCGTTAATTACATTAAACTTGCTCAAACACTGAAAGCAAATGCAAGGAATATGTTTATTTAGCCTTTAATTGAAAATAAATCTGTTCCACTGAAATACTTAATTATAAATATATACATATATAACTTAATTTGAATAAAATAAAAAAAAAAATAATTATATAGGAAAACAATTAGGCCAATTGAACCCAAGACTACGTTAATTACTTTGTAGTAGGCCAATGGCTTTTCCCTTATGGCCAAAAACCTTTGAACGTTCTCCAGTGCGATCCACTCGAGCACGTACAATAAATCTGTCTTTTATCTACCTCAATTAATACGGTCGAAACAGAGCCTCGGCCCAAAGGGAATTCGTGGGCCGTGACTTCTTGGTCAGCCCGTGGGGCAGCGATTCTCTCCGGGATTTCCAAAGTGCGGTGTGTTTGTGCCTCTTGTGGATGAAGCCAAAAAAAAAATATATCGGCTGTAAATTGGCCAACAGTAATTCATGTCGTGCGCTGAAATATGCGAAACATTTTTAAGACTTAATTGTTATGGCTGTAAATTATACTTGGCTGTGATATATTAGCTCTTCAATGGCGCTATAATCATATTTTCCGACTGACTAAGGGGATGCTAAATCTTGTTGAAGAATCTCGCGAACTGATTTTTTATTGGTTTCTGATTGCGTGTATCTTGCTGAACAGGAATGGTTTTGGGAATTGATTGATAATGCTTGTTTCTTTTTTATGATTTGTAATTGACTTAAAAGACATGCAAATAAATTTAGTGAATTCGGTGAGGGTCGACTGTTCTTCTTTCATATTGTTAGAATGACTTACAAAAATACATATTTTGGGCAGAGTACTTTTTAGTAACTTTAGTAACTCCCACTTAAGGCCTGCTACTTTTTCCCCATCTAATTTGTTAGTCCCGCCACCAATCCATCTCAGCTGGCTCAGCATTAACCCCATTTGGTCTAAATGGATTCCCGTTTGCCTTGATGAATGCATTTTCCTGACGGCACGAAAAGCCAGGAAATATCACTTACGAAAGTCATTCGAAATAATTGCATAATGAATAGGCAGGACAATGCGAGGGGTCGGCGGGTTCCAGTCCTGTTTCCGTTCCGGTTTTCTCTAACCCAAGGATTCCTGCTGGCGAGCTGCGTGTGGTTAATCAGTCCGATTAATCTACGCAGGACGAGTGCAAGTGTTTTGCGAAGGCGGAGGACACGAGCCAGCGAGCAGTCCTCGTTGATGATGATGTTAATTTGCACATAAGTTGCACGTGTAGCGAAACGGGAGCAGGTCCTGCCTGGGATCAGGGGTCTCTCCTGCAATTAATTTACTTTGGCAGGACATGCGACCGCCCGCTGGGAGGAGTTCAAGGAGCGTGTCCTTGCCTCCCGGCTCCTGGCTCATTACGGCTGCCGGGCCATTGTCATATGGAAAGTCTTGGCCGGATGACAGCGGGAAAGCCGCATTTAATTGGCATTGGGAATTCACTGGAGTCGGTAAAAGTATGAAAGTGGAGAGGAGTGACAGGCCGGCAAACGGAGAAATGACAATGACTCCGCTTTTGACTTCGACTCCGGCTCCTGCACTTATACGGGTCTTCCTGCTGCGCTAGGCACAGTTGGAGACTTTTGATTGGCATGTCCTAAATACAGACAGTGCGTGTCAAAACCTTAATGCTCCTCAAAATAATACCTATTCATTTGAGACAATACACTGTTAAATCGAATACTTAAGTCAAGTACTTACATATTTTGTATATAATATATTACTTTATAATAAAAGAGGGTAACCATTTTAACTTTGAAGAATACTTTATGTAATGTAAATATTTAAATACATTAAAATTAGATGAATAATTGGATGATATAAACAATGCTCATAATTATTGCGGTGTAGCGTTTTTATTCACCCTCCTTGAAATCATTAAAAACACTATATGTTTTTACATATAAATAATAATTATTTCCGTCCAATATTTACTTGATGTGTGTGTGGGAAACTTTTTGTTGAGTCAACGCAAACGGAAGTGCAAATCACGAGTCTTATTAAAAGTTTATTTTTGATCATTAAGTGAATAATGCAAATAGCATAATGCACGAAATACACAAACGAATCTTGAATATTTGGCCAGGTGCGCAAGGGGAAGGGGTGAAAAAATAATTTGCATTTCATTTAGCCGACAATTTTTTTTTTTAAGTAAGTTCTGCGGCCGAGGGGAATGCGGATTGTTCCCTGCGATCCGGCGGAAATGACGGCTATAAAAGGCAACTGCCGTATGCGGGATACGTGTAGCTAAACAACCGTAAAATATATGCAAACCCCAGCCATTCTGCCACCCCTCACGCACGTACAGTAAAGACAATTAGTGTAAGGC